AATATCTTTATCTTTATTTTATTATACTCATAAAGATGGAATTTTACAAATACTCATAATACATGATAAATATAAGAACAGATACAAATAATGTAACTATAAATATAAAACTATACTATAAGAAAGATATTCGATGCTCTCTTAATTTTTTCTAGAACAATTTTAAAGAGTAATCTAGTTATCAAACCATTATCGTACTTTAACCTATGTTATAGATTTTAAACACTTTGATGTAATCTGTGAATTCCTTCTCCTACCAAGGTTTTCTGACAGAAGGGTTACCAAAATTCCTGATGTTACTTGATATCCCACCAATATAATGTTTACTCTATTACCAACTTAAACATAGGAATAATGGGGATGGAGTCTTACCTTCCAACTATTCCTAAAAGTTCCATCGATAAAGTCAACTTCTTCGCATTGTATATCTATCAACAAGGATTTGTATTAGTGATAAAAATCAAGGTCATTGATTGTTTCATCAAACACATCTTTGAATAGCCCTTCAAGTACAGAGGAGGTAGGCTTTAAATAAGTCTTGAAACCTCGAATGGTTAGTCTAAAACCACTGGTAGTGGGAGTGTAATTGTGAATACCAATCTTTCTTTCCTTTGATAGATGAATCTGATATTCGACGGGTTCATCCCCTGCTTGCCTTACTAATTTAAGCACTGTCCATTCGTCGAGCTTATTACAATCGGTCTTGAAAATTTTTCTGGGAGGCTTCCAGGCCAATGCTCCAGCAGTACTGATCTTGGTTTCTTGATGGGCTGCCTTACATTTTTTTCTTCGCTTGGTATGTTTGTCAACTTCCATAGTATCCAATTTGTGATATCTATTGAAATGTTTCTTTTGTAAGGTGTGACTAATAAAGTTTTCATTACACTCAGAATATTTACATGTCTTGGGGAGCGGAGATTGTTTAGACAAAGGTTGTTTATCCTTTAGTTTACCCTGTTTCTTGTCTCCTTGGCATCTTTCTTTTTTCGGATAATATTTTTTCTTCTTTTTAGAGAAGCCCGGGTCAAGTGGAGGAGAGAAGACTTGTCGTTTAGAGTTACTAAAACAGACAGAAGAAGCCCTGCCTATCCATTTGGCAAAGAGCTCCTTTACTTGGTTCAGCTGTTCTGCAGGTCCAGAGTATTTGAACGTAGCACCGTAAGGAAAGCTTATCTCTACAAAGAAGTTCACCATATTGTGTTTGGTCTTTAAAACTACTATTTCTCATTGTTTACTTTTTTCCTTGGGAAAATTTCCTTATAAGGAAATTTTTAAGAAAAAAGGGGATTATGGGAAAGAGTTCTTATATTTTTTTTATTATTTAAAAAATTATTTATTCACTATTAAAACTTAAAAAACTTATTTTTTTAATTTTTTAAAATAAAAGATTTTATTTTATATTTTTTATATATAAAATCTAAACTTATAATCTGATTAAAATAATAGTATTAATAATATTTTAATTTTATCTAATTAAAATAAAAACTTAAAAATTTAATTTTTTTTTAAAAAAAAATCTTTTTATTATTTAAAAATTTAGTAAAAAATAAAAATTATTATATATAATAAATATTTTTTATTTATATTTTGATATTATAATTAGTTTTTTTGAAAACTTATTTAATTAAAAGATATTTATTTATAAAATTTTCTTTTTTATTATTGATAATATTATTAAAATATATAATTTTTATTAATAAAGGCTTAATTATATTTTAAAAACTAATATATTTTATATTTATTAATTTATTTTAATAAAGATTATGTTATTTAATTAAATTAAACTAAATAAGCACTTTTTATTGTAAAAAACTTCTATATAATTTATTTTATCAAAAGTAAAAAAATCTTTAAATATTCTATAGTTAATTTCCCAATTTTTTTTTTATTCTTAAAAGTCAAGTTTTTGATTAAAGAGATTTATAAATAGAAAGAACAATATTCATTATATTGGTTTAAAAAAAACATTAAAATAAATACTGTATCTTTTTCGTAAATAATCTGTATATTATTATGATTATTTTGTCATAGTAAACAATAATGTCACATGGTTAATATACGTGCAACCTTTTGCTTAGTACATGTGAACAGTTAAAGACGCGTTACTTTTGTAGTCATTTCGCAACCGAAAGTTTTATAAAATCTCTGAGCAAGGCTGCCTGTCTATATAATGACGCAAAGTTCGCATACTCCGAGAATAAGATATAGGAGAGCTATACCATTGTGGGAACGCATTATAAGTTGGCCAGGTGATAAGATTGCTGGACTACAAGAAGACTGGGCACTAAAAGACTGGGACAAAATTGAACGCAATCTTAGGTATGTGCTTTATTTATGACCTAATATAGTAAATTTTTGTCACCTTGTTATTAATGGTTCACAGTTTACCAGTCTCAGCGTTCCTGAATGGCTTGTCGATATTTTTAAGACTTGGTCTCCAATCCGATGGCGATGGACATGGTTTGACGCGTTCTTCATTTGCATTTCGGGTGCGAATTGCTGTTTTGTGTTTGTTTAAGTTATAATATTTAATTCAAAATACTAGCTCAAATGATTTTACATAACAGTTGGCGTGGTTTGAATGGTCATTGTTTTTATTAAGCATAGTAAATGCTATGTATGTTTATTCTAGTTCAAAAAAATATCACATGTTCGAGCGCAAAATCAAAGTAAGTTTTACAAATTATGTTATATTTTTACTATGATGGGTTGTGAAGTGTATCGTTTAAATCTTCTAATCAATATTTTTATTGAAGGATCGGCCCGGCAGTTCAAATGCACACTTGCAAGTATTAGGTGGTATTCCTCCTGCTTGGGCACTTGAATTTCCCGGAAATTTATTGTAAGAACTTGAAATGATATTAATATCGTATTTTGGAGGCAGTGTATTAATTAATATTGCTTGAATAGATTTTCTTTTTTTCGGGGATTTATTTCAAATTTGGTTCAAGATGAACATCAATGTGTTTGGGTACTCACAATGTGGGAACCACCTGTTTTCTTTCTTGACATTTTTTGGTAAGATGAAACCAACATATAATACATATTTTGGATGACGGCTACTGATATAGTCATTTATGTTTAGCTACTATTCTCCCGCACAAGTATTGGTCCTCCATTATCTTGATTGGGATAATTGGAAATATCTCCTTCCCGCAGCAATATTTATCGGACTTCATGTGGGTTATATTTAATTATATTAGAATTATTTATTTACTTTAATTGATCGTTTTTATACCTTCTCGTTACAAACAACAGCTTACGATTCTAGTTAGAGCTTTCCAGTCATTAGTTAAAGATAGACAGATAATTTTTGGAGAAGTCTACAATGAATACAACATGAAACTAGTCTATCCTCATTTGTTTGTTCGGAAATATGAAGTTTCTACGCAAACCGTTCCCATTGCTGGCTGGGCTAGTTAAATAACTAAAGGGACAACAATTTCTGAGCGAACATTCCAACTCGTCAGTCTTATCTAAATATACCCGGAACTATTGTTATCTGAACATTGAGTGGTTATTGTTGCTTACAGACGCGTTATAGTGTCAAGCAGTAATCGAAATTTTAAATCAGCCATAGAAATTATATTTTAACTTTGACAACATCTTAGCATTTCAAAAATATTGTTTAAATTTAATTAAATTGATTATACGCATTAAAAGTGGAATCTTTGTTTTAATTCAATATTATAATTCGGAAGAATAATTTTAAAATACGAAAGAAATAGCTTTGCGATTTTATGTATTTATTAATATTGTATCTACTGTATATAGAAAGTTGAACTTGTATTCAAACTTATATATTCTAATTTATTTTTTACTTTTATTAAATATTATTTTGTATCAGTTATTTTTTACTATATTGAATTTTAATTGATCTATTAGTTGAAATTATTTTTAAGAGTTTTTTTAAATGTCAGGACTATACTAAAGCTTGTAATAAATACTTTAAATCAATAGTTTTTTTTTATAAAATTAAAATTTTATATAACAAAAGATACCAAAAGCTTTAATAAATTACAACATTTTTGAGTAAGTCTTTATAAAATATACTAATAGTGATTAATTTAATAAAATTTTTAAAAAAGTAATAATAAGATACAAAAATTGGATTTATAAGATTCAATATTATTATTATTTATTTTTTTATCCTTTACAAAGTTCAAAACTTAACTACTTCATATTATATTGTACTTCATTTGATTAAGATTTTGTAAGAGCTTTATTTTTGATATTTTTTTTTTCTTTTCCTTATATTTTTTTATTTTGTTTATTGATTTTTTATTTTATGATTCTAAAAATTTTTGAGCTTTTTTTTTCTATTGATTTTCTATTTTTATTTTATAATTTTCATATTTTGTATTTTAGATTTGTTTATTAATTTAATTACAAATCTTTTTTTTAATCTTTAATAATTATTTTTTTATCTTGATTTTAAATTTTTTTTTTGTACATACAGTATATATTATATATAAACTAGTTTTAATATTTATTTTTATTTTTTATTTTTTTTAACCTATAATTATGCTGCTTTGATGTATCTTTTTTGAAATATTAAAAGATATCAAAATATTTTACAGACTTTTATAAAGTAACTAACTCATCATTGTATATTATTAATTGAAGAACTATATTACTTAAAAAATATGAGAAGTCTATTAAGTTAGTTCATGCTAAACAAAACCAAGTCTAAACTAGGACACTAAGTTAGATTTAGAAAAAATATTATGCTCTTCTAGTAGTTTGACATAGTATCTCTAAGTTAATTAGAGTTATTGTCAATAGTTTGTTACTATTGATTATCCTGAAAAATAATGAATTGCTAAAATATAATACTGGAAAAAGAAAAAAAAATATATAATTCAAAACCTTCTAAAAGGTTCTTATTCTATTTTATAGTTTCCTCTTAAAAGGGGTTTGCCTAATTAGGATATCCTTTAAGCTTCATAATATTTAAAGAAATTAATCATTCCTAAAAATAACTTCAAGAAAAATGTTTGAAGAACTTATTTTTTTACCAATGTATGAATTCATTTATTGCTACTGGAATTAGTATATATAACAAAAAAGTTTGTCTAATTGAAATAAAGAAATCTTTTCAATAATTTTACCTTATTGAGATAAAAGCTTGAAGACTATAGCTTTTGTTCAAGAAAGTCTTTTCACTACTTGAAAAACTTAATAAGAAATAGAAGTTGGAGCTGTTTGCTTATTTGTTACTTATTTTTTGATATCATAATTGTTTCTAAGAAGTCAAATATATATAGTTAGAGAAAATACTTTTTCTAGAACTTTTTTTTTTTATATTACAAATGATATAATGAGATATATGAGTATAATCAATAGAAGCTTGTTTACATTTTAAAAACTGATATATTTTATGTCAATTAATCATTTTTTATAAAGATTTGTGCATTTAAAATCTAAGATCAAACTGAAGTAAGTAAAATTTTTCAGAAAACTATGAAAATAGAAGCTTTAAGAGAATCAAGACAGTTTAAAAGGAAAAAAATAAGCCTTTTGACTACAATAAATTACTATAAACCTCTCGCTTCAAATGTTAGAAAGATCTTCAAATACTTTACAACCAGTTCTTCTTCATTTGAAAACTTTTTTTCTATTGATATCAAAGATGTTAATTGACTTTTTTTAGTCACTAGAAGTCAAGTTTTTGAGTGAAGAGATTTATAAATACTAAGGAAAGAGTAATAGTGATTTTTGAAGTAATACTTCAAAATGTTTTAAGGAAAGTATTAAGACTTTATTAATAAGAAAGTATAAAAACTTCTTATAAATATATTTTTTATATATGATCAAAAAATTAGTAGAAAGAGTTTTAAATATACTAGTTTTAATATTTGTTCTACTAGTTTAGATACCTATTTATTTATATTTTCTTTATTCTTTTTATTATTTATTATTAATTGTATTTTTTTTTACTTGGTTTTTTTTCTTATTCTAATAAACTTCTTAAAAAATCAATATAATTTCTTTTATTATACATTATTTACTTTATTCAATTTTTTTTTTTTTACCTGTAACCATTTTACTATAATATATAGTATCATTATTGAAATATTAAAAAAATATTAAAGACCTATAGATCAATAGCACAGTGGTAGTGCTCCCAGGTTGCAATCTCAAGGTCAGTAGTTCAATACCACTTAAGGACCAAAAACCCTTCTAATCAGGTTTACCGGTTATCCTGTGAAAGTCATACTCAATCATTCGGATTCCGCTAAATTCAGTTAGGCTGCATGAAGATGGGACCTCTGGTCTTTCTGACGATCGTGGGCTGAAAACAGATCGAAGCAGGAAAGGTTGTACGAGGAAAGGCTTCTGGTCTAACTCCCATAAAAGCCCACAACCCCCCTGGCACGGCAGACTCCATCACACAAATCACCCCTCTAGCTTAGAATATCCCAATCTGATGCTCCGCTTAAATGAAAATCAGTTAACTGGGGCTGATCCGATGCCACAGGTGGTGATAAAGAAGGTTATGCCTCCTTCTGAGGTCTGAGCGAATAATATATCTGGGAGTATTGGAGGGTGTATTCATTCTGTCGGGTATAACCAATAGGTCTAACTTAGTGTATAATAAAAAATAGTCATATGAGCCCAATATTAACTAGCCTAATTCATAGCCATTTATAACTGTGTATTAATTATCTGGCCACTAACTAGATGTGCCCACTTTCTCAGTAATAGTAGGTCTAGCTAGGATTGCCACGATAGGTTAGCATTAAACAACATATGTAGAGATGTTTGATGTACTGACTATAGAATTCAAATTGCCAAATAAAATCACACATCTAATACCAGTTGCGGTTTAAAAAACAAATTAAAAAAATTAAAAAAATATTAAAATATTTTACAAATATACATAAAGTCACCAATTTATTATTATATATTATTCATTAAAGAATTACTCTATTTAAAAAATATAAGAAGTTTATTAAATTAATTTGAATTAAACAAAATCAAGTCTTATCTAGATATTTTAAGTCAAATTTAAGAACCAATATTATATATACCCAATATTTAATATCAGAATCTCTAAATTATTAAAATTATTATCAATAGTTTATTACTATCAATTATTTTAAAAAATAAGTAATTATTAAAGTAACTAGAAAAAAAAATAATTTAATATACTTTTAAAAAATTCTATTGTCTATTTAATAACTTTTTTTTTACAAAAGATTTAATTAATTAAGATATTTTTTATACTTTGCTTATAATTTAGAAGAAAAAAATTTTTTGTTACTACCTGTAATATTATAAATAGATTTATTATTCAAGTAAGCACCAGATTATGATATCTCAAAAAAAAATGAAAGATCACAATTTTTTTTTTAAAAAGAATCTTTTCACTATTTGAAAAACTTAAATAAAAAAGAAAGTTGAACTAGTTACATCATTTCTTATAATACCTTTTGATAATATAATTATTTTACTAAAGAATTTACTTAGTTTAAAATAATATTTTTTAAAACTTTTTTTCTATATTATTATTAATATTATCAAATCATATAGATATAATCAATAAAAACCTATTTATTTTTTCAAAAATTAGTATATTTTATATTGATTAATTATCTTGATAAGAATTTGTATTATTCAAAATTTAAGATTAAATTAATATAGGTAAAATTTTTCAAAAAATCATAAAAGTAAAAACTTTAGGAGAATTTAAATAGTCAAAAAAGAAAAAAATAAACCTTTTTTACTATAAAAAAATCCCTATAAACATTTGTTTCAAAGATTTAAAAAGTCTTTAAGTACTTCACAATTGGTTTTTTATCTTTGAAAACTTTTTTGTCATTGATATTAAAGGTATTTTTTA